CTCAGCGCCGGGGCCTCACCAGCGTGAAGGCGTCGTAGGCCTGCGCCAGCTCCTCTGTGCGGTACTGCTCCAGTACCACCACGCCCTGGAGGCCTGCGCTGCGGCGCCGGGCACAGGCCTCGCAGTGCACCAGGTAAGTGTTGCGGCTGCCGTTCTCACTTGTCACGAACAGGATGTTGAACACCTCCACCTGGGACAGGGAGGAGTGGTAGTCACCGGATAAGCGCCCCTGGGGGCTCCTTCCTCCCAGGAAGGAGAGGCGAAGGAGAGGGAAGCGGGCCCACTCACGTCGCACTCGTTGCAGTAGTAGGCAGGCTCATCCTTAACCCGGCCCTGGTAGGCGATTTTCTTCCCTGCCCGCACCAGGCTCTCCCGTTGCACCTGGCAGTGCTTCATGGACTGCAGAAGGCAGAACCTGGGGGTGGGAGCCGGGGGAGGGTAAGGGTTGTGGTGAGGTAGGGCTGCCAGCAGGGCGGGGCAGGAGCCCTCATCTACCGGCCCCCGCTGAAATTTCATTTGGGTTTTTATTAGAGCCACTGTCAAATAAAACTGGGAGCAGGAACCTTGTCACCTGCCCCAGCACTGGAACACTGCAGGGTGCATGGGTAAAGAAAGGGTGGAGAGGAAGATGGAGAATGGAGTTGCATTCCAAAGGCAGAACAAGAGCGGGACCAGGTCTGGTGGAGATGGGCTCCCTCAAATAGGACCCTCACTTGATCATCTTGAACAAGTCGGGATCGCTGATTTTGACAGTGCGAGCCACGTTCCAGGACACATGAATCATGGGCACGATGGATTTGACATTCTTCACCTCGTTCCACTCATATCGCTCCAGGGCCAGCTGGTACTGATAGGCTGCGGGCCAGAAGAGGTCACCACAGGATTCCCAAACAACCCCTAGCTACTTGGACCCCAGCCCCTTCCCTTACAGCTGGCTGCCCTCCAAGCCCCCCTACCACTGAGTGGCTCTCCACCCTCTCACCGGTGAGGGGCCCAACATTCCAGGCGATGTTGTTGCACCAGCCGGTAGCCTGCACCCAGTGCACAGTCCCAGCGTTAATCCACACGAGGTCTCCAGGGCGCTGCACGAAGCGATACACAGGGATATTGGAAGCATAGAGGTCATCTAGGATTGGCCACCAGGAACCTGTCAGGTAGTCCACACCGTGCCTGCAGGATGACCACAGGGTTAGGTGGAAACTTGGGGACCCAGAGACAGGGCATGGGGGATAGACCTAGTGTGTAGGAGGGCGCGCACTTGTCACAGAAAGCGCTAATAGTCTCCCAGTAGTGCTCATGCACCGCGAACCACTCGCAGTCTCCAGGGCCGATGTTGATGTTGACAGAGCAGAAGTTGTTGTTCTCTTGGTGGCCTGCAGGGGGCGATAGAGAACTCCATGACTGGCCTAGCGGAGCCTGAGCTCGGTCCCAAGGCCACCTTTTGGCCCCCATTCGCTGACAGAGCAGCAGGGACCCCAGCGCCCTTCCGCACCTGGTGTTCGGCTGCCGGGAACCTTCATGTACAGCTGTACGGTGTTCATGCCCAGGATTGTGTGGCCCACGTGGCTCAGCATGTTGCCAGTGGATGTTACCCGCATGAAGGCCGGCAGCTTCAGCAGCTCCTGCAGTTGTGGCTTCCACCTGCGGCAGTGAGGGGGTCAATAAAAGTGAGAGACTATTCCAGCTC